TGCCTCGATGCCCGTTCCTGTTTATGAAAGTCAACATTTTTAATGCTTCCAAAATTCTGTGTTGCTAGCGAGCAACCGATAACTTATTACAAATATTATTCCAAACTTATTGGGAATTTTAATCAGTTCATGGTTCCCATTCCATATATTGCGCCAAAAACTGAATCGAATGGTCAGATGATGACATCGTCGATGCGGATTGCCATTCCCGTCCCATCAAATCCATTTAGGACTTCCGTTTGTCATGCCGATATGATTTTCCGATTGGATAATCCTCATCTCAGGGGTTTTCTCTCCCTTTCCCCAACCATATGACCTTCCTTCCTCCTCGAATTCTACTGTGGTACATTACTCGATGAGCATTGAATATCAAACGAATTGAGAAAAGAAACTATTTGAGGGATAGTACTGGGGACCTGGACAGGTCTGTTTCGTGTCCCTCTCCTCCATCGCTGTCACAATAGCCTTTTCGATTTCTCTCACCCGTGCCACTGCGTTTCCTTCAACCCTAAGAAAAAGATAGACAGGGGAGAAGGGAGATAGGGACCTGGTCCTGTATAGCCCCAGAGCCTAGGTCATCGGGGGCGACATATTACTAAATAAACACGAAATTGGAACGACGGAGCTGTTTCCCTACTGTTTCCTCACAGTCAGTCTCCACTTGAAAGCCGGTTCTGAGAACATAACATACATGCACCCTCCCCCGACTGTTGACGGTGACGATTGACCCTAGAGCGAAGGAAAAGATTTAACAGATAAAAATCCCAAGAAGATAGACGAGGAGCTTGCATAACAGGAGTGAATCTGTATGATGCAGAAAATTCGGTTGTTAAAGAAGAAACCCAAGTATGAATTCCGTAAAACCCATCTGCCCGTGACATCGATCATCAATACAATAACAAAGCAAGGACCAAGAGCCCGCATTACCATGCTCAAGTAATGGAATGAAAATACGAGGTTATCAGATTTCATCTTCATGATGCTCATTACATGGGTCGAAGATGAAAGACGATAGAATAATTTTAGGCTTTTAGAATGGAGAAACCATTACATTATCTACAGTATATTCCGTTTTATGACCTGGGTATCTAGTTTTATAGTCTGTCTCTTCCCCTGACGGGTTTGACTAGGTGAGAACTGTTACAACGACCTATACTTCGATCCCAGCGAGTCTCCCATGCGAGAGGCGTAGACTTACTAATACTTAGTCTTCCTTTAAATCTAATATGCGTGCATCGAATAGCATGTCTCAAAGAAAACGATGCGAGAGAGCCGGAGTGATAGGTACCTAATTAGCTAAATATTTAAATGGATAAAAAAAATTAGTCCTTGAGCAGATTTTGAGATAGCATGACCACACAGACGCTTTTAAGGCGATGGAAAATACAGAACGTGAAATGTGCCTGGAGGCGAGAGAAAGGGGTAAGTGCGTCTCCCTCGGCCAGAAACCTGTACGCAGTTCGTGCCTTTTACGAAATGCTTTCCTTTGCTTTCCGTAGGAGTGAACCCTGGGGGAAAGGGTGCGGATAGGACGAAACCTCCCTCGAAACGTAAATGCTATTCCCTGACCGTGCGAAGAGCTCTTGAGATTGGGGGCAAGGAGATGCTATGCGCCGCCTGTGAAACCCTTTTCCCTCCGAATTCAATTTTCGGTTAGGGTGAGGGTCCTCTTTAGCGCTTCGCGAATACTATAGAGCGAAATCCCTTGCAGGATTCTGCGGAGTGAGTGGAAGACGACGTGATCAGGTTTTCAAGACCGTTCTGAAAGGTTTTATGGAGATTTGCATACTTGAGAAGTCGAAGATATTGCTCAGACAGCCGGTCTGGTATACAGGAAAATTTAGTCATTGATCAAATGTAAAAACACACGTTGGATACATATAGGCGCACTGGTGATCGAGCAGAATATGAGGAATGTCGGGTTGCAACGAGGTCATTGAAGCGGGAAATTAGGTCGACGGCGGTTCCGGCGTTTGTCGTCAAGGAACTCGGGAGGAAAGTATCGATGCCCGGACATTTTTGTCGTTAATGAGACAAAATGCTCTAAAAAAAAAAAAAGATACTATGACTTATCCCACTGCACCGTCTACTCAAGACAACTTTCTAAAAATAAGTTATTTATTAACTTACCGCTATCGTTAGGTGTAAATGAATTAATGAAGTTTTTTCTTCATTCTCATTCACCTTCTCCTTATCCGCTCCTTTTTCCTTGATTTTATACCATGAACTCCGCCTCCCTCCCTACGCCCACTCCCTTTCTGCTTGCCAATCCGACTCAGGCTGTCCGCACCATGAATAATTTATTTATCCTCCCCTGCGGGGAGGCGAGGGGGTATCTTCAAAAGAACTCCAACTCTTTGATATTTGGAAAATGACTCATGATCGTTGAAGGCAGCGTTTTACTTCTAATGGAACAAGGAATAGCATCAGGTCTCTGCTCTAGAAATAAATCCTGTTTTACAGGGTTAGGATTAACTATTGACAGAAATAAGTTCCATCTCTTGAGAGCATGGTTTTAGACTTTCTTCCATAGAGACTTCTGACAAGTACTCAATATGAAGGAAATTATGGAATCGAGTAAAGATCATATAGTATCAAGATTCCACAGATACCAGAGAAATCCATGGACAACGCCTGAATGTTCTATTTCATATATTTGCAAACAAGAACATTCACCGGTATCTTATCTCTAAAACAAAAGAAATCGGTGCCTTGGAAGAACTTAACAATGAATACCCTTCGTATAATGATGCTATTGTCCACTCTTTAATGTGTAGTTATCCAAATCCATTTTGAACCTCAGCCAATGAATCGTAATAAAAAAGAGGTCTTAAAAATTATATATAGATATAGATAAAACAGTAAGATAAATATATAATAATAAAAAAAAAACAAGCTAGAAGAATGAAGTGGGGGAAAATTAACTTCCTATTCCCTGGGCTGTCGTGGTACTCTTTTACAGTGAGGACCATTTTGTCCTATTTCTCACTAAAATGTTCGCGACCATATTTTCCTGGATTCGAAGTATCAACATCGGTGGATCTTCGTGAATAGTATTTTGCATGATGAATGGCCAAGGGATTGAAAATTTGCGAATGCCGTCCCGATCTTTAAGAAGGGAGAAAAGAGCAATCTGGGAAATCACAGGCCGGTGGATCTCTCGAGCATTCCTGGAAAGATGGAAAACATGACGAGACCTTGGAATCCTTCGAGGGAACTCACTCATCTGGGAATTTCAGCACGGCTTTAGGAGGCGGCGAAATAGCCTTGCCAATTCTTTCGAATTCTGCAATTGGATGACGGACGAGACGAATAGACATGGACATCATCTCCATAGACTATGCGAGAGCTTTCGATTCCTCTCAAGTGGTTGGAGGCACATGGGATTCGAGGTAGTGTGAATAACTGGATTAGTGACTGACTGGAGGGAAAACAGAGCATATGAAAATGAAGTATCGGCGGAAGTAGGAATCGTGAGTCCACCAGGGCGAGGTCAAACGACCGCGCGTATTCGTGGGATCGCATTTATATTATATATTAGATCAAGGCTTCACGAGCAAAATCAGCAAATTTCCCGATGATACAGAATTCAGTTTCTCCATCGGGGGGGGGGTCGCCTGAAGCGGTATGGGAAGAGAGAGAAACGGGGAGCTCGCGACAGGCGTCGTAAACGGAACCAGAGTCATTTCCGCTGCCTTCACATGGCCTTGGCAATCAAGGGAGAGAGAAGGAAAAAGTTCCATTCATGGAAACTGCTTGGATACAAGTTGACAATGCGAATTCAGATGACCGAGCAGCTTTCTAATCGAGGCAAAGGAACCTAAAGACGTACTGGCGCTCGCCCTATCCCCCAATCCAATTTAATTGGACCTGGTGTCATACGGCATCCCACTGTTAATTGGAGCTCGCGTGTCATTCTTCCGTTGTGTACAAGACCTCATTTAGAGTATTAGGTCCAATTCTGGAGATCTGCAAATAAAAGTGCTCTAACGGCGCACGAGAGGGTTCAGAAGCGGGCTACGAAAATGAAAGAGGTACAAGAACTTGCATATAAAACATTGGGACTCAACTTGCTCGAAACAAAGCTAAAGAGGGGAGACCTCATCCAGGCTTTTAAGACCATTAAGCGAATTGAGAACGTGGAGTGTAGTAGATGGTAATAGAACAAGGGAAAACTGGTTTAAGTTGCGTAAACCCAAAGGAGACTCAGGATGTGAGATGACTTCTTTACTTGTAGGGTAATACATGCGTAGAATGTGTCGCGTGACGATGTAGTAGCTGTCCCATGTTGAGATTAGCTTTAAGAAGATGGTTTCATAGACAAAGCAAATTATCCATGAATTCTCGATCTTGACATGAGACGTCCTAACGGGTGAAAGTGCCTCTTGACGTTCTTACCCGAACCTTAACCCTTGAATGATGTGATTGTGGGAGCCCACACATTTGCGCTGGGTTCTTTCAGATTCTTGGAGGGAACGTAGAAAGACCATACGAGAAGAGCTTCCATAAGACATTTTGAGAAAAGAAACTCAGATCATCAGTACCAATGAAACTGAATTTCTCTTCGTCCGAAAACATCACCTCTTGCCACTTGTTTGCCCAGAACATCACTTTCGCTGCCAAGTGGACGGTTATGTGGCTCAATGTCAGCAAAGGTTTTGATATAGCACTGACATATGCAGACTTGCCGGATCCCACTGGTCAAGAACCAAATAACCGTCTCTGCCGCATTCCTATGCTCCATCGCATCTGGGAAATCAATTCAGAAAGATCGTGGACTTCCACCATTCCTGAATTTCAATAAATAGGCATGGGTGATGGCTGAACGCCTCCCTGAGCATCCATGCAAGCTTCATCATTGTTGGCAAGCATTCCAGGTTTCTTTGTAGTGGACCCAGCGGAATCCAGTCTCTTACGTCGTGGCAGATCTCGCATTCGGCCAGGGATAAGAAGATAATTCTGGTTACCAGGTAGGAAATTCTAAGCAGAAGGATCTGGAGATGTCTGGAGATGTTCAACATGGAATGAAGGAGGAGCAGGATGAGAAGGAAGAGTCTATTCCTTCAACATCCCCTGGGGGAGAAGCAGGCGACGTTATGGTCATCGACCAGGTACAGTTCCTTTTGTTTTTCAAAATACAGAATGCCGAAATTCTTAGCCAGCTGAGGGCGGTTATCATTGAGAATGTCAACAGATGAAGAAGGACGTCGCGGTGGAAATTGAAGAGCCTATGAAGAAAAAGGGGGAAGAAAGTGCAATGGATGAAGCGCAATGCTTTCCCTCGATCAGCCTTGAAAGGATGGGTCAACTCTTTGTCTGCCTTTGGGACTTCTTTGCCCAGGTTCTCCCCCTTTATAATAACCGAATAAAGTAGGGGGGGGGGGGGAAAGAGAGACATGGAATTTATTTGACTTTAAAATACTATTGGAAGTTAAATTACCTTGCATCTCTGATTTTTGCCTGGGCTCACAAACGAGAGTTCATCCGACTGTGAGAGATATTTGAACTTCCAGTGGCATTAATTTGCAAGTCCTACAATTTGCAACCTGTTCCAAGTGACCCATCTTCATGGTAGGTCTATCCGAATTGGAATACGGTTTCTTACCAATAGAAACGATGGACACTTCTATGCAGGTGTTCATTGATGCAGACCTTGAGGCCAACTACGAAGAATTCATTGTTGAAGGCTGGAATCTTCGAGTCTCCGTCGAGGAGATGGTGGAAAAACATCAAATCATTTCTCTCTCCCGAGAACTTGCCCAAGTCAACCTCACCCAGGTTCAGTACTGCTAACCAGAGAAGCCGAGAGATCCCCCCACCCACCTCTTTTTTTAATACTCTCAATGTTGATCGCAGATATCCAGTCAAGGGGATCAGGATCACGGGCATCAGTCATTGCCGAATGATGGATTCACAGATGAATTGGGGGTCCTGGGGGAGCTCTACAGTTGGTGTTGGGACTTCTTGACCACCTTATTCTGGTCAAGCAATCTCTTGACTAGTTACAACATGCTCATCAACGTCGGGCATCAACTCCAAGGCCGACTCAGAGAAATGGCTCCAACGATATCCATCAATGACAACCAGGAAATACAGGATTTCATGCTTCTCAGATATGATGTCGTCTTGAATTCTGAGGAATCAAAGAAAGCCGAAAAAACCCTGCAGCTAATTTCAGAATTCCTCTCTGCCATCATCAAAGAGATCAAGGGTCAACTCAATGGACATTGGGATATTGAAGAGGATCCTAAGCAGAAACTGGAACAGATTCATGAAATAGGTCAAAGCTTCAGCCTTCAGGTGGGCTTCCAATTCATGCCAACACTCCAAATCGTAGATATTTCCATCAGACGGAAGAGAACATCCCTTAACTTTTTTTGCATGGCTTCAGGCGATCGGGATCGGTATCGCAAGCACCCTGGTGGATGTCATGGAAGAGCTCGGGAAAGTGACTCTTCAACTTCACGAGAACAATTTGGAATCAGAGCTGCTGGAAACAGAGGCCGTGTATGATCTCCTAGAATGCCAGCAGAAAGAGCATCAGAAAGGCGAAAGGGAACTGGATCAAGACGATGAAGTGTACGAGGGCGTTGAAAGGAACATCTCCAGAGACCAGCAAAACCTGCAGGATCTGGAGGAGTATGGTGATGAGGGGCAAAAGGAAAATGAGAACAGCGGTGATGAGAGCATCAATGAGGTGCAGGTTCAAGTACCCTAACTACTTCACTTGCATCAGCTTCAAGATGAAAAATTCTCTATGTCCTCTGACTTGGTCCCCTTTCAACATGCTGAGCACTTTTACAACTGCTTTGCCAGAAAGTTCAGCAGAATAGAAAATCCCCAGGATTGTATCTCCCCAGGAGATTAAATTTCCTATTAAGACATCTTGTTTATTTCACAAACATATTTTTTTTGGCTTTACATTAAGGAAACTTATGATTCTGAAACCTAGGGTACTTTTATTCTTTGGCATAATCCTCTACATTTCATCATAAATACAAGTGGAAAACAAAAAAGCAAGCAATGCTGTTCAGATCACACATAGGCCTTAACATAATGGAAGCAAGCATCACACGATCCAAATTAGGGTTTTGGGCCAAGGTACTTGAGACGATCACTATAATAGTCACTGGGGGGCTCAGTCTTGTGAAGTTCAACCACTGGATCTGAAGAATTGTTCTCATGCTCCAATATTTCTCCTTCTTCAAAATACTCACAATCACGGGTAAGGGGGGCTGGAGCATAGGGATCATATGGTGGTGAGAGAATATCCAAAAAAGCTGCAGGGCCACCAACTGGGTGGATCTCATGCAAGTTCTGTCTGAAAGGGTATAAAATACATGGTTCACTCTGGCAATCCAAATGGACCAATGGATGCTTCTGCCCTTGCAGAGAATTCTGAAACATTGTAGTGTGGCCTTGATGAGGAAGCAGTGTGTAGGACTGAATTTGCAGTCTCCCGTGAAGAACTTTCAGCATCCCATGCATATCAGGGTGATTGTGTAATGGAATTCGTGCACCCTCCCTCAATACAAAGATGCTCACCACAACTTTCTTGCTCTCAAAGACTTCAATGTAAAACACAGGGATTCGAGTTGAGTAACCATTACAGAGAATCTTCTCCACATCCACTTGGACATCTCTGGCGGTGATTTGGGCTGCCAATGATCTCAACTCATTGAAGCGTTCAAAGATGATCGTGTCACGGCTAAAGACTTCCGTGGCCAGACGAACCACACGTTGGATGAGATTGGTCATTTTCCTGAAAGTTGAGGAAATATTTATACTTAAAAATAGGTATTGGAAGAAATAAATTATTGACCTGGAAGTTTAGGCTTGAATGTTGAAACCTCCTTAGTTAATCAAATGCACTCAACTAAAAACAAGAAGACTGGCTTCACTCTTTTGAATGCATGGAATGTATGGTAATCCCTGATACCATAAGAAGTTGAAGGAGCAAATATGGCACAGTGGCAGGTCTAGCAGTAGTACTAGAACCTGGCAATAACCAAGTGATTTTTTTCCTCCTGATTGCTCATAGTGCCAAGCCAAAATGACTGGTGAAGTCAGTCATTTGAAGGAGTTTGTTTTTCCAAAACTCCAAAAACTGTAGAAATTGTACAATGAAATTTCACATAAACATAGCTTTTGGAAAAAAACATGGGCAAATAAGAGCTTCACATGAAGAAGTTCAAATCGAAAAGCCAAAGTAAACTTTATCAAGTGAATAAAGCCTATAGGTATTATGGAAATTAATTAAAAGAATTTAGTTAATTACAAATAATCCAGCAAAAAAGCAGGTAAAGTGCAGTTTAAATAAAAGTCAGGATACAAATGTTATTGTGCTTAATTATGCTTTAAATTACCTTGTTTGAACATCTAATACACTTACATGAACAATATGAGCAAACATGAGAAAAGTGATAAAATGGCAGTAGTTCAAAGGTCACATGTACTCTAAAAAAAATTTTCCCACTGGGTGAAAATTTCATGGTTTTGAGAAAGTTGACTGATTTTGGTGGCTCAACTTGCATTCAAATAATTTATTTTTTATTTTGACTTGTTCCATGTTTGTAAATGCACCACTGTAAGAAGAACATGATTTAATTTTTTTAATTGCCAGTTCCACTGCATGAAGTCACCTTCATATATACTGCTGCATCCCTCAATAAAATTTCAAGGCCTCTGTCAGTTTGATGTTTTAGAAGCTACTTTCAATGAAAGTAGCAACATTACTACTGAGCTGAAGCTAGGCACCAAGACTCAAGATTTAATAAAGCTAGTGTGAACCCTGGAAATGTCTTTGACATTTTACAATCATTCCTCTACCCCCTTCAGAAGTTGAGTGTGATAGGTCTCTATTCATTCCTTAACCCCTAGAACACACAACTTTTGGGAGGTTTGTGTACTCAGTACACTGTACATTTTGGTAAATTTTCAATATTCCATTTTTTCTCATCTTCACTAATATGTCTTTGCAGCTCATCTTCATCAGTTTCCTCACTTTCACTATAAACAGGCTGATAATCCAATCCATCCAAATCATCCTGAGTGTTAGAGTGACTTTCAAACACATTTACAAAATTGTATCAAGAGCAAAATTGGTTATCTTGGTTTGGTTGTATAGCATGTTGGAATGATGGTTTACATACTGAACAGGGGTTAAGTGCACAATGACTATTCTGCTTTGGATCAAAATCATGCACCATCCCTATTATGAAAAGTGCACTGCTATATAGCTTCCTTTAGTAACCTAAATTGAACCTTTTGAAAATTGAATTCTTCACATCAATAACAACAGAAGAGGTTTTGCTAACCCTTTCCTGAAATTAGCCTGAACACAAGACAGTGTATGAAGTTCATCTAATTAGGAATAGATCTCTACAGCACTATGTGACATAAATGTTTATGTTTTTAAATGTCTGCAAACATGTAAACCTGCTGCGATGTTTTCAATCTTGTTCTTCCTGCTAGACTATTTCTTCTCAACAGATCATTTCCCTTTAAGAGAATAAAATGACAGTGAATTGAAATTATATGCCTTGGCTGCTGACAGTCCTAGGGGGAAGGTGATGCAAGAGAGGCAACATCACTTAGGCAATTGATCTTTGTCTCAGCTTCACTTACTAGTCCCCAGAGGCAGAAAAAGTACTTCTGCTTACCAGTAACCATGGTTTACCTTCCCAGTTTCCCAGTCACTGATATTGCTTCTCCCTTCCTTGTCTTCCCAATCGGTCGTTACCCTTCCCAGTAATCTGGTTACTAAGTTACAGAACTTTTTCCACCTCTGCTATTCCCCATAGAATAAACATGTTCCTCAAGAATGAGGCACACTTTGGATGATGCAATGACAAAACTGCTAGAAAATTAGCAAGTACATATTTTCTTAAGAGTGAATAGGTAGACTACCTGAATGCCCCATTCATGTGCTTGTTCAAATACATCCAGAACCATCTGAGTTACTGTTCCATGAGGTTAGTCACCTCTTGACATATATATGTAAGTATGAGGTGATTAACCTCCCCTATACTGAGTTGTCAACGTAGACATGAAAGGGGATGGCAGGACTCTCATTAGTCAAGGAGCACTCTATTAGAGGTGAAACTAATTATGCTTAGGGACATTATTTTACAAATTGTGGATGAATACACTCATTCTTGCATAAATCCTAATGCCCATAGAGGTTACAAAATGACTTAGTTGCAACAGACACTTCCTCTCACTTCCAACCCTGGAGTTTTACTCAAATGAAATCATTCTTACCCCCTTGAAGAGGGAGACATATAATACAATGTAATGTAACTGTAATTGCTCCATATAATGCAACACACATGACATCTGATATGCTTCATTATCAGTAGATTAATTCTAGACTATGTTATATTAGAGTTGTTCCATGCCATTCAAATATATGTTTGACACTTAGCCATCTCAAAAGAAACTTTTGACATTTTAACTGCAAACTGAACCTAGAAAAACTCCAGGATCAAAAACTTTAGGCCTCAGCTTCCAATGAGACATGGGTAGGGCTGGGATTTTTATGCAGACACTTTTTTACTAAAGTCATATTTACCTTGCACACATTGAAAGTACAAATTTGAAAAAGAAAAATCTGTATGGCAAATCTTGATAATCCACATTCCTCCTTAGTTTATTCATAAATTAATTGCATGTTTTTGCCCTGATAAGGTTAAAAAAAATTAAAGAAATGGTCACTGATATAATACAATTTTAAAGTGGGTCACTTATCTTCCATGTCTCAGGTGTGTCCCATCTTCACCACATCCTCCTCCTCCCAAACACGTATGAAGAACAGAGGAAGGGGGGTGGCATGTGCACTTTTTATGGGAATCTGAAACCTTCATCCTGCCATCAGAGCCATCTCAGAAATTATTGGTTGGAAGTTGTTACCATGAATTTGGGCTAACACAGACTAGTTAAACTATGCTGTGCATTACCATTTTCATGCCTGCCAAAGTCCATGTTTTGTGTACAGTATGAGAAATCGATTTAGCATATTTTGAAATTGTGTGGTGAATATTTCCAGGATCTCCATGCTGGGATGCATATACAACCCAGCCCTAGTCATGGAATATCAACTTTAAATATGACTAGATTGGTACAGTTGGTCTCCAGTTTCTATCAACAGGAGATAAGGTGGAACTGGCAATAAAATGTAGTTGATACTAAACTGAATCATAAAATCAGTGTAAGTGTTTTTAACTTAAAACGTTTTTCCCTTCCCGCCGATAAAACAGCTGGAGTTATGTCCAAGTATAGCTCAACTTAAACTCAATAACTGATAAAACCGATGAAGGATACTAGGCTTCTGCAAGGGCTAGGGTCAAGGTTTTCCACAGGGTTTCAACAACCCGTTACGTCGGTATATCGCACAAGTTTCACCTATTCAGCTAACGCCTAGACCTCTAGATCTACTTGTAACCTTAGGCCTAAGGTAAGGTAGTCAGCTTTTCCGATTTAGACCGGAAGGTTCCCCGTTTCCTAAACGGAAACATCCCGATCAAAACGGACAAGTAGGCGCCCCTAACCTATGTGTGATTGACAAGTCGACACTGGCCTACGTGCGAACGGCGAGTTCTCGGGGGCCTACGTGCGACCAACGAGTTGACATCAGCCTACTGCGCACATGACTCACGAAAGGGTGCGAAGAGCAAGGAAAGCGAACAACGGAGGCTGTCTACCCATGGTCTAGCTGGT